TTACACATACTTCATTTATATTATTTTTTATTCAATTCAATTCAATTCAATGGTCATTCCGGGTTTCCTTGGGATTTCCGGGGCGATTTTAAGGGTGCGCCAAACCCTTTACAATCTTCTTTCTCTTTCTCCCCCCTCTCTCTCTCCCTCCCCCTTCTCCCCCCTCTCTCTTTCTCTCTCTCTCTCTCTCTCTCTATATATATATATATATATATACACACACACACACACAGGGTGAGTCATTTTAATCTATGGACCCGAATATCTTCCAAATTACGGTATCTACGAAAAAATGGTTTAGATAAAAGTTGACCAGGACAGAGAGGGTCATTCAATTGTACCATTGGTTTTGACTTTGAGGTCAATTTTGAAGGTTATTTCAAGGTCATAATGGTTTTTTTAAATGGGACACCCTATTTTTGACTGCAGATTTTGAAAGAGCGGAAAATTTTACATCAAACTTGTCTTATGAAAAAATTGTTTTTGCGACCTTGGAAAGGTCAAAAATAAAGGTGAAATGCCTGAAAAACGATCTGGTGTACTTTTTCTGAAATGACGTGGTTTTCTGGGTAACACAAATGTGCATAATGCTTAAACAAAGTCAATGAATTGTAATAGTGTAAATCACTTTGACTAGCTTGACCTTGAGGTCAATTTTCAAGGTTTGAGGTTTATAACGCATTTTTTTTTATTAGTAAACCCTATTTTTGACCGCAGAATCCGTTTCTTGACAATGGACTCTTAAACAATGGCACTTTTTACATGAGCATAAGGATTTTTTTAGTTTTTTGACCCGACCTTTTGAAGGTCATATCAAGGTCAAAAGCATTCATCTTACTTTTAGCGTTACCCGGAAACAACGACGTGGACGTAGTAAGTTCTGTTTTCTTTAGGGTGCTTGATTATTGCGAGTCCCCTTGCCTCTCACGTCGGGGTGCTTGATTATCGTGAGTCCCCTTGCCTCTCACGTCGGGGTGCCTGATTATCGTGAGTCCCCTTGCCTCTCACGTCGGGGTGCTTGATTATCGTGAGTCCCCTTGCCTCTCACGTCGGGGTGCTTGATTATCGTGAGTCCTTTTGCCTCTCACGTCGGGGTGCTTGATTATCGTGAGTCCCCTTGCCTCTCACGTCGGGGTGCTTGATTATCGTGAGTCCCCTTGCCTCTCACGTCGGGGTACTTGATTATTGTATGTCCTTTTGCCTCTCACGTCGGGGTGCTTAATTATTGTATGTCCCCTTGCCTCTCACGTCGGGGTGCTTAATTATCGTGAGTCCCTTTGCCTCTCACGTCGGGGTGCTTGATTATTGTGAGTCCCTTTGCCTCTCACGTCGGGGTGCTTGATTATTGTATGTTTTCTTGCCTCTCACGTTGGGGTGCTTAATTATCGTGAGTCCCCTTGCCTCTCACGTCGGGGTGCTTGATTATCGTGAGTCCCCTTGCCTCACGTCGGGGTGCTTGATTATTGTATGTCCCCTTGCCTCTCACGTCAGATCTGGTGAGCAAGGAGGCCATTCAACTGGATCCCTTCGTCCAATCCATCTGTCATTGTAACTGGCATTTAAAAAGGCACGTACAATGAGTGCATAATGCGGTGCAGCACCATCTTGTTGAAGCCACATTCTTGCTCTTGTTGCTAAGTCAACATCTTCTAATAAGCCTGGTAAGTGATCTCTTAGCAACGATAAGTAACTGTGTCTATCAATGTTCTCTTAAAAAAAAATAAGGTCCAATCAAATAACCATTTACAATGCCGCACCACACCATAATACTCCATCGATTTTGATGATCTATTGGCCTATACCAGTGGGGATTAACATCTGATCAATAATGGTAGTTGTGCCTATTAAGTTGTCCGTCACTATAAAATTTAGCCTCATCTGAGAAAAGCACATACCTAAAAAAATTAGGATCATCGTGTAACATTTGTAAAGCCCACTGGCAAAAAGCAATACGCATCAGATGATGATTAGGCTGTAAAGCCTGCGTAAGAGTTATGTGGAAAGGGTGATAATTTAGAGCTCTTAAAATTCTAACAACAGTTCTTTGTGGTATACCTATTTCCCTTTCAATCTGGCGAGTACTAACATGAGGATTAAGGTGAATTATTGCTAAAATAGTTACAGCTCGCGCATCATTTTCGTCATATTCATGATGTTGACGTTGACGAACAAGATGTCCATTGCGAGTTCTTTGGACTAAACTACGTATTGTCATATCAGTTGGATGTCGCCTTTCAGGAAAGGTATCGGATACGAATACCGATTTCTTTTTATGGGGATACTTGAAAAATGTTGTTTTTGCTGAACGACCAACCACAAGAGATGATTTTATGGACCGCATTCGTAGAGCTTGTGCAGCCATTCCTAGAGCTACCCTGCTTAGAATTGTGGATAGTTTTCAAAACAGATTGCAGTTATGTCTCGAAGCCAACGAAGGTAATTTTGAACAATTACTCCGTGGGTAATTCATTTGAATTACAGTGTCAGTGAGAGGCAAGGGGACTCACGATAATCAGGCACCCCGACGTGAGAGGCAAGGGGACTCACGATAATCAGGCACCCCGACGTGAGAGGCAAGGGGACTCACGATAATCAGGCACCCCGACGTGAGAGGCAAGAGGACTCACAATAATCAAGCACCCCGACGTGAGAGGCAAGAGGACTCGCAATAATCAAGCACCCTAAAGGAAACAGAACTTACTACGTCCACGTCGTTGTTTCCGGGTAACGCTAAAAGTAAGATGAATGCTTTTGACCTTGATATGACCTTCAAAAGGTCAGGTCGAAAAACTAAAAAATCCTTATGCTCATGTAAAAAGTGCCATTGTTTAAGAGTCCATTGTCAAGAAACGGATTCTGCGGTCAAAAATAGGGTTTACTAATAAAAAAAATGCGTTATAAACCTCAAACAACCTTGAAAATTGACCTCAAGGTCAAACTAGTCAAAGTGATTTACACTTTTACAATTCATTGACTTTGTTTAAGCATTATGCACATTTGTTACCCAGAAAACTACGTCGTTTCAGAAAAAGTACACCAGATCGTTTTTCAGGTATTTTACCTTTATTTTTTACCTTTCCAAGGTCGCAATAACAATTTTTTTATAAGACAAGTTTGATGTAAAATTTTCCGCTCTTTCAATATCCGCAGTCAAAAATAGGGTGTTCCATTTAAAAAAACTATCGTGACCTTGAAATAACCTTCAAAATTGACCTCAAGGTCAAAACCAATGGTACAATTGAACGACCCTCTGTCCTGGTCAACTTTTATCTAAACCATTTTTTCGTAGATACCGTAATTTGGAAGATGTTCGGGTCCATAGATTAAAATGACTCACCCTGTATATATATTATATATATATGTCAATCGTATACTTTGACGACGATTTTTCGTAACCATTGGCTATTTCGACGACTTTTGGCTATTTTGACGACGGTAGTAAAAATTTTTACCGATAAATCGTATACTTTGGCGACGTCGTCAAACTAACCCGAAACGGAGAATAGATTAATTTGATGTCATTGTATACTTTAACGACACTATATTTATCTTTTGGCGATTTTGACGACAATAAAAAAATTTAACAAAATGACTTATTTTGACGAGATTTAAGAAATACTCTTTTGTCTCATATTTTTAAAAAAAGGTACATATAATACATATAATATAACATGCTGCCTCTAAGTATGACATGTTAAGAATACACTAAAAATCTTAATTTATATGCAACACATACAGGAGAAACATTGATATGCAATATAAAAAATTAATTATTCTAATACCATATTTTAGGATATGCATTAAGTAAGATGGTTCATACATACATGTAAATTTTTTCGTATAATTGTTACAAATATAATTATTACAGCAATACAGATACATATTCCCAGAAAGTTATATGTACAAACACATTGTCCAATATAAATGTAAATTAATTAAATAATTAAAAATAAAAAATTAACAGGTTTCTACATGTACATAAGATACATGTAATATATATAATACAATATGCTGCCTTTAAGTATGATATGTTTAGCACTATTTTTCCTGAGATATCTACTGAATAACAGTACGAGTTGTCTTTAAATCTCCTAATTGTCAATAATATAAAATCATCAATATTTCACAAATCTCTGCAAATGAACAAATAGGCGTTGATCATTCCATTACATAACACAAGATTCTATTAGCGGAGACTATTATATTAAGCTCTTGCTTAATAGATTCTCATGGTTTGTAATGGATTCCCTCTTGACACTGTGCATTTTGGATCTGTGCAAATTATATTCATCTATCTCGTACTGTCTTCTGCTAAAATAGAAATAAACATAATTCAATATTAATAAGCAGTGTGACGAAAAGATATCTTTTGAATTGCAATCTTACCTGTATAATCCTCATAATAATTCAGGCTTCTCTTGGACTCAACAGACAATTAGAAAACAGAATAAAAATATTTCACCAATGCTGTAATTATACTGTATTTATCCCAGCACTTATATGTATTGCACAGCATGCATTATTATTTCTAGCAAAAATTCCACTGTAAATACAAAAAATTAATGAATTAAAAAATTATTAAATTTATGTTAAATATTCTTTATTGTTACCTATAAACTATGAAAATATAACAACAATACTCATCTTTAATTAAATATGTCTTGCATATACATCCACTTGTCTCACGTTACTAAAATACTTGCATAGATTAGGTAAAATTGATTATCCAATGTCACATCATAAAAAAGACCAATATACTATAAATTTTTCCAAAAGTTTGATACTAAGAACACACAAAATATAATGTTAAAACAAGAACGAACGCGAGGTTAGGATATATGTCATATCTGGAGTAAGCATTCTAGATGAACGTTCTGTTACAATATTTCTATTATTTAAATAACGAATTATTATTTATATAAAAATCAAAAAAATGATAAATTATTTAAATAAAAATATTACATAGCGTTCTTCTATGCCTACTTCGGGTAGAACTCTACTGTAGATATGACAGATATCCTAACCTAACCTAACCTCGCATTCGTCACCGTCACTGATTCAACATCATATTTTGTATTTTTAGTATCATGCATCTGAAAGTTTACAGAATATTGCTTCTTCTTTTATGATATAACGATGGATAAATAATTTTTACTGAAATACGCGAGTAATTTAACAATTTGAGACAAGTAAATGTGTAAAACTCATTTAATTAAGAGGGAGTTTTATTGTTAAAATTATTATGGTTTATATTTATAAATAATAATAAAGATTCTGATACACATGTTTCATAATTATTTAATTAATCAATTTTTTCTATTTGCAGTGGAATCTTTGCTAGAAATAATGCATGCTGTGCAACACACATACAAATACTGGGATAATTTGCATTTTATTTTCTTATTGTGTGTAAAACCTAAACAAATCCTGAATTATTAGGATGATAATTATACGGGTAAGATGCAGTTCACACAAAAGATATTTTCTCATCATGCTTCTAATTAATAATGTGTCATGTTTATTTTAGCAGAAAACAGTGATAAGAATTTGCAAATCACAGATGTAAGATGCACTGTGTGTCAAGAGGAAATCCATTAAAAAGCACGAGAATCTTTTAAGCGAGAGCTAATATTGAAGTCTCCGCTAATAGAATCTTGTGTTATGTAATGGAGTGATCAATGCCCATTCATTCATCTGCAGAGATTCTTGAAGTATTAATAATGAAGTATTAATAAAAATTGTTGACAATTAGAAGATTTGAAGACAACTTGCACTGCTATTCAGTGAATATGTCAGGAAAGATAGTGCTTAACATGTCATACTTAAACTCAGCATACCGTATGATATGTATTACATGTATCTTATGTACATACATTTAAAAATTTGTTAATTTTTATTTTAATTATTTATTAAATTTACATTTATATTGGACAATGTGTTTATACATATAACATTCTGGGGAAATATATCTGTATTGCAGTGATAATTATTTTGTAATAATTACACAAAAAGAATTTTACATGTATGCATGTATGTACCGTCATAATGCTATCTTGAAATATGATATTAAAATAATTAAATCTTTATAATTACATATCTATGTTTCTCGTATTGTATACTGTCTGTAAACAGAATTGTACTTTACTCTTTTGCAAATAAAATTTCACATAAGTCGCGGTTTTGTGAGATTTCAAGTGCGAAAGAATACACTAAAATTCTTAATTTACATGCAACACATACAGGAGAAACATTGATATGCAATATAAAAATTTAATTATTCTAATGCCATATTTCAGGATATGCATTAAGTAAGATGGTTCATACATTCATGTAAATTTTTTCGTATAATTGTTACAAATATAATTATTACAGCAATACAGATACATATTCCCAGAAAGTTATATGTACAAACACATTGTCCAATATAAATGTAAATTAATTAAATAATTAAAAATAAAAAATTAACAGGTTTCTACATGTACATAAGATACATGTAATATATGTAATACAATATGCTGCCTTTAAGTATGATATGTTTAGCACTATTTTTCCTGAGATATCTACTGAATAACAGTACGAGTTGTCTTCAAATCTCCTAATTGTCAATAATATAAAATCATCAATATTTCACAAATCTCTGCAAATGAACAAATAGGCGTTGATCATTCCATTACATAACACAAGATTCTATTAGCGGAGACTATTATATTAAGCTCTTGCTTAATAGATTCTCATGGTTTGTAATGGATTCCCTCTTGATGCTCGGTGCATCTTGGATCTGTGATTTACGAGTTATTATAAATCTATCATCGTCTTCTGCTGAAATGAAAATAAACATGATGACAATATTAAGAAGCAGCGTGATAAGAAAATATCCTTGATGTGTACCAAAATCTTTTACCTGTCATAATAACTTACGCTTTTTTTAGATTTAATAAAAGATAAAAAACATAATGAAAAAATTTCCTAATGTAATTACACCGAATTATCCCAGCATTTAAATGTGTGATGCACAGCATGCATTATTTTTAGCGAAAATTCTGTAAATAGAAAAATGTTGATTAATTAAATCATTATTAAACTTATGTTAAATACACTTTATTATTACTTACAAACTATAAAAATATAACAATATACTTCCTTTTAATTATTTATGCCTTACACATACGTCCGCTTATCTCACGTTGCTAAAACGTTCATGTATAAGCTTAGATTGTTTATTCATCGTAATATAGTAAGAAGGGTCAATAGTTTATATACTTCCAAATGTGTGTGTGTGTGTGTGTTTCATACTAAAAACACAAAATATTTATACAGGGACGAAAGCAAGGTTAGGATATCTGTCATCTGGAGTGAACAAAGAAGAACGTTATGTTAGAATATTTTTAATATGTAAACAATAAATCATTATTTAGTGAAATGTAGAAAATAATTTAATATTTAAATAAAAATATTCTCCCATAGCGTTCTTCTACCATACCTACTCCAGATAGGACAGATATTCTAACCTCGCTGTTCATCCCTGTTTTTATAATACAATCTGTGTGTTTTTAGTATGAAACAATTGAAAGTTTATGGGATATTGCTCCTTCAAACGATTTACAATGTTGCTTATATATATACAGAACGTCACACACGCGACAAATACTTTTCGGCGCGGTATCATATGTTGCGGTATCTTTCCTCGCTCGCACCCGATGTGGTCTACCACTTCACACGCGCCGCGACATATGATACCGCGCCGAAAAGTATTTGTCTTTGCTTTTTCTATGATACGAAAGTGACGCGAAAATGATGTCGCATGTTGCATGTAAGACACCCTGCATAAATGCACAATACATTGTACATTTACAAATATGTTCAAGATTTATTAAAGAGAGAACGACGCATACACTCATGCACGCACGATTTATATGCTTCTAAATTGGTTTATAAACAGCGCGTGCAGCCTTTTATCATTTGCAACTTATCCACGTATTTATTTCAACTTTAACATGTAGTCTAACATTAATATTGTTTATAATTTAATATGAAATCTACCATAATTCGGTGTCGCGTGAAAAAAAGAGAGAGAGAAAGAGCAAGAGATGGATAGATAGATAGATAGAGAGAGAGAGAGAGAAAGGGAAAGAGGGAGCGAAATAGATAAACGGAGAGAGATATATTTATATAAAATTTAATCATATGGTACTTTCTGATTCACAGGGGGGGGGAGGATTATGCGTATAAAGCGACATAAAATCTATAAAATGCCGGAGTTACAGATTTTCTGTCGCATATTTATATGCATCATCCGCGAATCAAAAAGTACTACATGATTAAATTATACATACTTATATCTCTCCGTTTATCTATTTCTTTCTCTCTTTCTCTCTCATTCTCTCATTTCGCTCTCTCTCTCTCTCTCTCTCTCTCTCTCTCTCTCTCTCTCTCTCTCTCTTTCACACGTACACCGAATTGTGATAGATTTCATGTTAAATTAGGCAGTGTGCATGCTAAACAGCATTTTAAAGTTGAAATTAAAATGTAGGCAAGTTGCGAATGGCAAATGCTTTTCAGCGTGATATCATATGTGGCGGCACATCAAAAGCGGTTGGCCGCACACTTTGAGTGGCGAGCGAGGAGAGATGCGACATATGATACACCGCCGAAAAATATTTGTCTTTGCAACTTGTCCACATATTAATTTCAACTTTAACATGCTGTATAGCATTCATACTGCTTTATTTAACATGAAATTTGTCACAATTCGGTGTGCGCGTGAAAGAAAGAGAAAGAGCGAAAAAGAGGGAAAGAGAGGGAGATAGAAAAAGAGAGAAAGAGAGGGAGATAGAAAAAGAGTAAGATAAAGAAGCGGAGAGAGATATATATAATTTAATCATGATACTTTCTCATTAACGCGTGATGCGTATGAAGTGAAAAAATCTATTTACGATACACATTTTATACATTTTCCGTCGCTTTATACGCCTTTCGCGTTAATCAGAAAGTATCATGGTTAAATTATGTATACCTACATCTCTCCGTTTCTCTATTTCGCTTTCTTTCTCTCCCTCTCTCTCTCTCTCTCTCTCTCTCTCTCTCTCTCTATCTCTCTCTTTCTTTCGCGCTCACGCCGAATTGTGACGGATTTCATGTTAAAATAGACAATATGATTGCTAAACAGCATAAATTAACATGTAGGTAAGTTATAAATGACAAGTACATTTTGGCTAGGTACCATATGTCGCGGCACATCAGAAACGGTTGACCGCACGCTTCGAGCGGCGAGCGAGGAGAGACGCGACATATGATACCGCGCCGAAAAATATTTGTTACACATTTGGAACTTGTCTATATAATAATTTCAAGTTTTACGTATTTAGCATTAACACTGCCTAATTTAACATGAAATTCGTCGGAATTCGGTGTACGCGTGAAAGAGAGAGAGAGAGAGAGAGAAGGAGAGAGGAAGCGAAATAGATAAACGGAGAGAGATATATGTATATATATAATTTAATCATATGGTACTTTTTGATTCACAGATGATGCGTATGAAGCGACAGAAAATCTATAAAATGCCGGAGTTACAGATTTTCTGTCGCTTATTTATACGCATCATCCGCGAATCAAAAAGTACTATATGATTAATTTATACATACTTATCTTTCTCCGTTTATCTATTTCTTTCTCTCTTTCTCTCTCTCATTCTCTCTCTCTCTCTCTCTCTCTCTCACACACGTACACCAAATTGTGATAGATTTCATGTTAAATTAGTCAGTGTGAATGCTAAACAGCATGTTAAAGTTGGAATTAAAATGTAGGCAAGTTGCAAATGGCAAATGCTTTTCGGCGCGTTATCATATGTCGCGGCACATCAGGATCAGGAGCAGTTGGCCGCACGCTTCGAGCGACGAGCGAAGAGAGATGCGACATATCCCAGACAGCACCAAGTCTAAAATTGACGCATAAGATATCATTAAGAAATCTTTAAGATAGCTTTAAGAAATCTTATAATATGATATCAAAAAGACATCTTAAAGATATCTTAAAGATATCTTATGCGCCAATTTTGGACTTGGTATTGTCTGGGATGATATAGCGCCGAAAAATATTTGTCTTTGTAACTTGTCCACATATTAATTTCAACTTTAACATGCTGTTTAGCATTCACACTGCCTTATTTAACATGAAATTCGTAACAATTCAGTGAGCGCGTGAAAGAAAGAGAGAGAAAGAGAGAGAGAGAGAGAGAGAGAGAGAGAGAGAGAGAGAGAGAGAGAGAGAGAGAGAGCGTGAGATAGAAAGAGCGAGAGAGAAAGAGAAAAAGAGTGAGATAAAGAAACGGAGAGAGATATAGGTATATATAATTTAATCATGATACTTTCTCATTAACGCGTGATACGTATGAAGTTAAAAAAATTTATTCACGTCACACATTTTATACATTTTCCGTCGCTTTATACGTCTTACGCGTTAATCAGAAAGTATTATGATTAAATTATTTATACCTACATCTCTCTCCGTATATACCTACATCTTTCTCTCTTTTTCTATCTCCCTCTCTTTCTCTCTATTTCACTCTCTTTCTCTCTCTCTCATTTTCTCTCTCTTTCTTTGGCGCGCACGCCGAATTGTGACGGATTTCATGTTAAAATAGACAGTATGAATGTTAAACAGCATGTTAAAGTTGAAATTAAGATGTAGGCAAGTTGCAAATGACAAGTACTTTTTGGCGCGGTATCATATGTCGCGGCGCGTAAGAAGACCGAACGCATCGAGCGGCGAGCGAGGAGAGACGCGACATATGATATCGCGCCGAAAAGTATTTGTCACATTGCTATTTCGACGATAGGATATAATGACGTGAACATGATGATGTCGCGTGTCGCGTGTAGGACACCTTGCATATATACACAACATTGTCCATTTACATAATGATTCCATTCAAGATTTATTAAAGAGAGAACGACGAATACGTTCATGAACGCACAATTTATATGCTTCTAAATTGTTTTATAAACAGCGTGCAGCCTTTTATCATTTACAGCTTCCCCATATATTAATTTCAACTTTAACATATAGTTTAGCATTAACACTACTTAATCTATCACAATTCAGTGTGCGCGTGAAATAAGAAAGAGGAAGAGAGAAAAAGGGATAGGTAGCGAAATAGAGAAACGAAGAGAGATATATGTATATTTAATTTGATCATATGATACTTTTTCTGATTCACGGACGATGTGTATGAAGCGACAGAAAATCTAGGAAATGCGTGTCGTGAATTATAAATTTATTTCTTGCTTCACATGCATCGTATGCGTTAATAAGAAAGTATGATCATGATCAAATTATATACACATTTATCTCTCTCCGTTTCTCTATTTTCCTCTCACTATCCCTTTCTTTTTATTTCTCTCTCTTTTATGATACCACGCCGAAAAGTATTTGTCGCGTGTGACGCTCTGTATATATATATATATATATATATACACAATATTGTATATCGTGTGAAGGAGCAATATCCCATAAACTTTAAATTGTTTCATACTAAAAACATACAGATTGTGATATTAAAACAGGGATGAACAGCGAGGTTATAATATCTGTCCTATCTGGAGTAGGCATTGTAAAAGAACGCTATGTAAGAATATTTTTATTTAAATAATAATTTATTATTTTCTACATTTTTCGTTCAAACGTTCTTCTATGCCTACTCCAGATGACAGATATACTAACCTTGCTGTCGTCCAAGAAGGAATCCATTACTAATTGTAAGCATGAGAATATTTTAAGCGAGAGCTAATATTAAAGTCTCCGCTAACAGAATCTTGTGATATGTAATAGAATGCATAACATTCATTGATCTTTGGATTTTTTTTGGAAGTCAGTGCTTTACTGTCAATAAATAATGTATACATAATGCCATTTATTATTTACTGCAAGCAATAAAAATAAAGTTTAATTTAATATGTCACTTACAAAGAGCACAATTATATATGATCACATATATTGCATTTTACGTAATTCATAAAATTATATTTTATTTTTATCTTATATAATTGGTAGTGAATGATCTACACATATAATGTAAAGATTGTTATACATATTTTATTTTTGTTATATGTTTACAAATGAATTACACAACTCACAGACCATTATAACAGTTATTCTTTTCAAGATTGTAAGTGTTTCTTCTGAGAAATTGTACATTTTTTGTGTTAAAACTGCTGTAGCTGTATACATATCATTTCACAATAGTTTATATTTGTTTCTTATTTCTTAAGTATTAATATATAGCAATTTTATATATGTGTATAATATTCAACATATAATGTGCATCATAGTTATTTTAATAGTTACAGTACAAAAATGTGAATAAATGTTAAAAACATTTAGTATTTGAGAACAATAACAAATGCATTGTGATATTTATATTTAATGTTATAACATGTTATAGTAATTTTTATGATGGATCACATGCCACATTCATTTTTATCATTTCTTAGTATTGTTTGCACTACAATATTACTTTTATAAACCTAAGATTATGTTTGAAATATATGACATAAAACTAAACATATTGTATGTTCCTTATATAAATATTTTGCATTCTTCAAGGAAATAATAACAGTATCTATATGATTAGTAATATTAATAATATAAATCACAGTATCGATCTTATACTTAGTTGTATTATATTATAGTTGTAAAATATTTGTAATTTGACAATTGCACTTAAGACGCTAAAAATAATATAGTTTTTACGTTTTCAAAATTAAAATCAATTACTAATCAAAATTAAAATCAATTACTAATAAAAATTAAATAATATTTTCTAGCATTTTATAATACTACATTCTCAAACGAAATAATAACATTATTAGTTTCTTTAATAGTATTAATATTATGGAAGACTGTATTAGTTCCATTATTGCAAAAAATAAGAAAATAATAGTATCGATATCATTAATAATGTTAATAATATAAATCACAGTATCATTCTCATAGTTGTAAAATATTTGTAATTTCACAATTGCACTTAAGACGCTAAAAATAATATAGTTCTTACATTTTCAAAATTAAAATCAATTACTAATAAAAATTAAATATTTTTTAGCATTTTATAATACTGCATTCTCAAAGGAAATAAGAACATTATTAGTTTCTTTAATAGTATTAATATAGTATTCTTTAATATATATACTATGAAAGATAAACTAAATTAGTTCCATTATTGCAAAAAATTTGTACTTTTATAATTGCACTCTTATTTGTATTCTTATTAAGATGCTGAATATACTTCTTACGCTTCCTAAATTAAAATCTTAATTATCAATATCTTAGCATTTCGTAATAAAGTAATTTGTACGAATCTAGTAATCTAGTAATCTTTCGCTATTTACATTGTTAAAACAACATAAAAACAGAATTACTTTTAAACAATATAAAAAAATAGAAAAGATCCTTGTGAACGTTATTAGAACGTATTCTTTAGAATATTCGCATTGAACTTATGACAACCCTGCAATACATAAAAATTGAAATAATGAAAATATTTGAAAGCTTTCATCCTTCTAAAAAGAAAACTAAACATTTTATATCTTGCTTGTTACAATCTTCAAATATGTATTTTAATTTTTAAAGTATTTGTAATTATTAACATAATAAATACTTACGATGTCGTATAGTTTTCTGTTGATTATGAAGCCACGTTTTTATCTGCGGCGAAGTGCGTTTAGCAAGCAATGTATATTTTTTTTTTACTATTTGAATATCTTTTAAAGATGGTAATTTCAGTTTCTCCATATATTTAGAAAATGCCTGTAATGCTGTTTCCTTTTCTTCCTTAGACCAACGAATTCTTTTAGTTTTCCCATAAGGAGATGCTAAATGAGAAGTTAATAACATTAATTATATGTAACATTAATTATATATAACAATGCTTTTAAAATATCTAATAAATTAATGGAAAATACTCACTAGATCGTTTGCGTTTACTATTATTTTGCTCGTCCTGAATGTTGCTATTATCAGAAATGTTTAAATTATCAGAAATATTTAAATTATCAGAAATATTTAAATTATCAGAAATGTTTAAATTATCTGAAATAAATAATGTATGTTACATTAAAATAGATATAAGTAATAGTATAAAAGTACATATAAAGAAAATATAAAATATAAGTTTAAGAATGCAAAAGGGAAATATAGAAAAAATTACTTGTAGATTTATCTTCTTTTTCTGCTGTATCATTGTTAATACAGCTATTCTCTTTTAATACGTCATCATTTTCGGAATTGTTATCTGTTGAATCCGCTTCCGAATTATTTGTATTACCTTGTACTGCTTCCAAGTATTGTGATATTTTTAATATGTCTCTACTAGCCAGTGGTTGCCTATAATGATCCTTGTGAATTTTATCGGAATGGCCCATAAACATAGCCAGATCCGAAATATCGATATCGTTTAGATTTAATTGGATGCAATATGTAGCCACGTGCTTTCTTAGTATTGTACCACGCAAAGTGGAAGATTGATTGGCATTACACTTTTCTGCAAATTTTCGTAGTAACGCGCATGCTTTGAGATACTTATACCTTTCTTTATTATTTCCAGGCAATCCAAAAACATATGGATTTTTTTCTGATACTCCAGCTTGTTTCCGAAACTTTAAAATTAAAGTAATGCTTTGAAATAAATCGTTTGATAACAGAACAGGGACTGTACGTCCTAATTTGCCTCTTATGCAAAATCTTACATATTTTTGAGCAATTTTCTTATTTTCTGTAGATAACGATTGATACATGTCACTATGCATATTTCTATTTAATTTTTCATAGCTGTTGAAGTCCTCTATCAAAATTCTTTCAATTTCTCCTGCTCGACGTCTATTGAACACATGTATGGAAGTTAATGTTGCCTCAGCCAAAGAAATCCAGTGGCAATAAGAGAACGATTGGTATAGTTCCTTGTAAGCATCAGATCGTTTTTCTTTTAAATGACTGTATAATTTTCGAATATCTTCTAATGTTGGAAGATTAATTTTTTTACGCCTTTTGTGAGCCGTTTGTGTTTCTACAACAGTTGTATTGATGCTTGTTCCGACATCTACGACTAGTAATTTAAAAAAATCCTTGACTTGTCTTTTTTTTCGACATTTTCCTTTTTATACACTCTATAATAAGGATATTTCCAATATGTTTCAATAACGTTGACAAATTCGCTGCTACTGCAGGCGTTTCATACATTTTTGTTTCAGAATTATATTTTGCAACTTTATTAATTGCACATATGCAGTCATCATATACCTTGGGATTATAAATGGATTCAAAGCTTTCGATATTTTCATTTATATCTTTCATCGCCAAGAAGAGACGACCGAGAAGACGTAATCGAGCACGAATCATATCGTGGTGATGTTGCGACTTATACTTCATACACAATTTATTTCCATATAAAATCAACAATTCATCATATCTTATAGCACGAATCACTTCATCTTCCCGCAGGATTGGAAAAACTGTTTTCCTTAAAAGTTCACTTGCGGATGAATGTAATCTACATGTGATCTTTCTACCCATCACCATAATACATTTATTTTTTGTAAATTTTGTTCCAAAACAACTTCGAGAATGATGGCGAATTGTATTTTTTGAAAAAAAGCCCTTGCATTTGGCGCAAGCAATAAAATTGTTAGCGGCCTTTTTATATTTTTCGTTAGGACGCCGACATACTATGAGTTGTCCATTATTTAATTCGGAGTTTGTATTAAATTTGAAATTGCCATTTTTTCGTAGCGTATCAATAATTTTTCTTCGTTCAGGATTTCTTTTAGGTAAAGCAGCAAATTTTTTTACATCTGACTCATTGCGATGTACTTTTTCTAAATGTCGCACTAATTGTGTCTGTAACTTTGAGCAGAATATGCAATAATTTTGCTTAATATTTTTTGCATTTGAAGTTTCTACATGCATCTTTTCGTCATCACATATTGATGTGCCATTATTCATTTTTGTGGCATCTAAACTGGATATTGAAGCCATGCTTGCTATTGATTTTTGTATTTGTTGCGTTTCATCATCGTCATTATTATTTGAATTTTGATCATCTTCTGACGGTAAATACTCTGATCCACTTTCTTCATTCTCAACATCTAAAAAGCATGATATATGTATATGTATAGATATTCATTAAGAGGATGCTAGTTCTATTTTATCAACCGAAAAGTAAGAGTAGATTTGACTAAAAATCTATTTATTGACTAATACAGATTGTTTTATTATCTGAAATATAGCTAGCGCGATTTATTAATATTAATACTTTAATGTGGCAAAAGAATTTATCAATCTGTTAACTTTATAGTTAATCAAAATTTATTTACAAGTAATATATATTACTTATTTGTAAATATAATTATATCGAGCATGAATGATATCATGGTGATTTTGCGACTTATACTTCATGTACAATTTATTTCCATATAAAATCAACAGTTCATCATAATAAGATATGATGAACTGTTGATTTTATATGGAAATAAATTGTACATGAAGTATAAGTCGCAAAATCACCATGATATCATTCATGCTCGATATAATTATATTTACAAATAAGTAGTATATATTACTTGTAAATAAATTTTGATTAACTATAAAGTTAACAGATTGATAAATTCTTTTGCCACATTAAAGTATTAATATTAATAAATCGCGCTAGCTATATTTCAGGTAATAAAACAATCTGTATTAGTCAATAAATACACAAATACAGTTTTTAACACAAAGAGATACTACAAAATATTGAAACATTAACATTTCCTTTAAAGATAGAGTCGATTATATACATATTATAAACGGTAGCTAAACTTACCAAAAGATGTTAAAAGATCAGTAATTTGATTGTCGCAGTTTATCTTTCTTGCTTTTGTTTTGTCCTGATTTCCATTTTCATCGATGGATATAATCGGTTTGTCAATATCTAATGTAATAACCATAAAGAAATGCATGTTACAATAGTATATATGATAATAGTATATATTATAATAGTTAATATATAGCAACTGAACAGACTGTGATAATACTAGCTTAACACACTTATAAAATCTATGATCGAAATGTTTTCAGTTTTATGTATTGCGTTTCTAGATATCAACTCAATATGACTTCTGCTTATTTAAGAAGACCTTAATATTTAAGATATTATTAGATTTTAATGTTTTATATTATTGACACAATTAATATTTACAAAAACAGATGTAAAAACAGAATATTTATAGAATATTGATCCATTTCTGTGAAAGATAAGTACTCGTGACCTACTAATATAGAAATACAATACATAAAGACAAGATAATTTCTAATGATTATAAATCTAGTATAAATACAAAAAACTTGAATGTACCAATAATAAATAAACCTATTGCATATATACTAGTTTATAAACTAATATTGATAAATATTGTGTATATTCACCGTTATGTAAAAAATAATCTGTTTTACTATCACAATCTCTACATGGAAAAGTATTAATGTTCTTCCCATTTTCATCGAAAATGAGTATCGTGTTATCTGAAAAAGATACATTTCATACATATGATGCTTACATATACGAGACCCATATAGTAGATAAATAAGTTTACCCAAATATGTTGGGAAATTAGCAATCTGATTGCCACAGTTTTCCTTTCTTGCTTCTGTTTTATCCTGGTTTCCTACCTTTGGTTTCTTACCTAATGTAATAATAAAATAATAATATTCATTAAACGATTCGTAAAATGTATCTAAATTGTTTCGTGATGCACTATACAGCATGTAATGCTTATAAAAGGCAAAATAATATAAAATAGTTAATAATATTACTTACCACTAAATATTATATTATCTTTTGTTTTGTTACCAGAATTTTCGCTTATTCTATCTTCAGTCTTATTATCAGAATTTTCGCTTATTCTATCTTCAGTCTTATTATCACAGCTTTTATTTATTTTATTAGTCTTTTCTTTTCTATTTCCATTGCCAAATTTAACTTTTTCACACAATATATGTGGTACATTTTGTAATATATTTTCTTTTAATTCTAACAACATATTTTTATCATCTATAATAATAAGAAAAGTTTGTTTATAATAATAAGAAAATTCTGTCTGTAATATAACACAATACAAAATATTTTAACTTACTATTTTTTGCTATAATACTTGCTACATATTTGTGCCCATCACAGTATTTAGCTTTCGTAATACCTTTATACTTAGTAATGTTTTTTGAGTTGGATACGTAATAAATGCCATCTTCATCATATCGCACTAATGCATACATTGTTCACTTTAATTTTCAGTATATATCACTTTACCGGATCGTTGAGTGTGATTAAAATAAATGAATCTTGTTCTAAATTAGAGATCGTTACTTTTCCGCCTTCATCTTAATAGTTATTAAGGCTGAACTCTCACTGCGAATATTGAAAATCTAGGTGAATATCGCAATGCATCTTAAAGCGGCGGTTACAATGATTTTAAGCCTCAAAGCCTAAAGCCCATATCAGGCTAACGGCATATCAAGCGCAGAAAATGCTTCGCTGTGATTGGCCAGATGTGTAAATAGAAAAAAGTTGATTAATTAAAAATTTATTAATTTATGTTAAAAATACCCTTTCTTATTGCCTATATAAACTATGAAAACATAACATCAACAATACTCACTTTTAATTAAATGTATCTTACACATATATCCATTTATTTCATGTTGCTAGAAAAGTATATTAGCAAAGATTGCTTATACAACGTGATATCGTAAGAAAGAGTAATATTCCGTAAACTTCCAAAAGTTTGATACTAGAACACACTAAATATGATATTAAATCATAAATCAGAAGCGAACGCGAGGTTAGGATATCTATCACATCTGGAGTAAGCATTCTAGATGAACGCTCTGTTACAATATTTCTATTATTTAAATAATGAAATATTATTTATATAAAAATAAAGAAAATAATAAATTATTTAAATAAAAACATTCTTACAGTGTTTTTCTACAATTTCTACTCCATATATGAAAGATATCCTAACCTTGCGCTCGTTCCTGTTTTAATATTATATTTTGTGTTTTCAGTATTCAAACATTTGGAAATTTACGGAATTTGCTCCTTTTCTTACGAATAACGTTGGATAAGCAATCTTACCTAATATATGCGATTATTTTAGCAACATAAGATAAGTAGATGTATATGCATATTTAATTAAAGATGAGTGTATTGTTGTTATATTTTCATAATTGAGGTAACAATAAAGAGTATTTAACAGAAATTAATAATTTTTTAATTAATTTTTTGTATTTGCAGTAAACTCTTTGATAGAAATAATGCATGCTGTGTGCTACATATACAAGTGCTGGGATAAATAGTGTAACTACAGCAACAGTGAAATATTTTTATTTTGTTTTCTAATTGTTTGTCAAGTCCAAGAGAAGCCTGAGTTATTATGAATGATTATACGCGTAAGATTGCAATTCAAAAGATATCTTCTGGTCACGCTGCTTATTAATATTGTATTATGTTTATTTCTATTTTAGCAGAAGACAGTGTGATAGATAAATAATAATTTGCACAGATCCAAAATGCACCGAGTCTCAAGAGGGAATCCATTACAAACCATGAGTATCTGTTAAGCGAGAGCTTAATATTATAGTCTCCGCTAATAGAATTATGTAATGGAATGATCAACACCCATTCATTCATCTGTAGAAATTCTTGAAGTATTAATGATTTTATATTGTTGACGATTAGAAGACAACTTGTATTGTTATTCAGTGAATATGTCAGAAAAGATAGTGCTTAACATATCATATTTAAAGATAGCATATTGCATTATATATATTACATGTATCTTATGTACATTCATGTAAAAATCTGTTAATTTTTTATTTTTAATTTATTTATTAAATTTACATTTATATTGGACAATATGTTTATACATATAACTTTCTGGAGAATGTATCTGTATCGTTATAATTATATTTGTAAAAATTATATTTAAGGATTTATATGTATATATACTATCTCACATAATGCATATCTTAAAATATGGTGTTAGAATAATCTGGATTAAAATATATCCTTATAATTGCATATCAATATGTTTCGTATATGTTGCCTGTAAACAATTAAGAATTGTACTATTCTATTTTGCAAATAAAATCTCACATATGTCGGGGCATTGTGAAATAAGTGCTAGAAATAATTGATGGTGTCTCTGCAATACCAGTTTTGCAATACCTATTGTGCAACTACCATATGAATAAATATTTGCAAACATTGTGTTTCTTGATTGTTTATGAAACTGTTTAAAGAAGCCTAAATTATACTTTGATTGCTTGCATATTAGATGAATGATGGTTATTCAAAAAAAGAATTTCTATATTTACTTTTGGAGTGTCGTCATAATAACCGTTTTATGGAAAATATGGTGTCGTCAAAATAGCCAGCGTATAAATGTACTATACATAATTTTGTACTGTCGCTGTACTAACCGATCTATACTTAATTGCTTATACATTTGTACCAGTGCATTTTATCATAAAATTATAAGTAATGTATACGTCAGGGAGTCAATGTACTCTTATGTATACCATAAAATGTTTGATTTTTTGATGTCGCCAAAATAGCCTATTGACATATATATATATATATATATATATATTTTGTAACCGTGGATTTTATATTGTCCGTCGGATCGAAAAGGATCCGGGAAATCGGGCCGATGTAAGTGACCGACGGCACACCTTCGGCGCGGAAAGCGGGAAATTCTCGTAAACACAAAAAAAATATGTTTGGTTGGGCGCCAGGCGCGAGATTCGCGCCACTCTGAAATTTCCAAATCGATAAATGACCTTTACAATCAGCAAAGTATCCCGAAAATTTCCGCGACGGCGATAATCGACTCGCTCAGATCGTCAGGGGGTAGAGGGGGGAGTTCGGACGGGAGAGAGGACGGAATTCGAGAGAGGCTATTTGAAATCGCTCAAATATAACAAACATTAAATATATTTAGACACTGATAAACGAAGATAGACAGAAAAATAATTGTATAAAAACTTGAGTACAATGTTAGGTCCAGAAAGAAAAGTAATATTCGTTTGATATCTTACGGAGAGATCTCCGCGTTAATAACGCCGAAATACAGATAAACGAGGCCGAAATGTGATTCGAAAAATACAATACGGCGTATGTACGGCCGAGACGCGGCGCGTTGTTATTATTCCACGCCTTTGAGACGACCCGACGCGATGATATCGGACGACACGCGGGACCCGGAAGTAAATTCGCACGCCTACGTGTCGAATAATTATTAACGCACGAGACTTAATAAGGTCCGTGCGGCGTAATTAATTCCGATGGTCTCAGGCAATACAAAATTTCCGTAAACTCGAGTAGGTCCCGCGCGACTTCCTTTGAGATCGCTCACGCCGGTCGTTTCTCGCAATATTTCACAAAGGATCCGAAGACGGCACGGATAAGGATATGCGCGAGAAAGAATACGCTAGGTCGGATGCGTGACTCTAACTAATTTTCTATTCTCCGATCTAGAACTCCAACAGACGAGGACGGTACAGTAATTACAAGACGATACCTTAAATTTTACATTAACGTGACAAAAATCGCGGCGACTGTCGGCGTATCCGCGGGAGAGAGAGCCTCTCTTAATATACGCGCGGGAGAGAGCACGCGGTCGGCCGGGCGCCGGGATAAATTCCACGCGGAACGAAACTCTAAATCAAACTTTCAAAATCGCGAAATTACCGGTGAATCTAATAACCGGTCGCGGCCGTGACACGCTTCTCTCCCGAATACGGTACTCACAAGGAATTTAGCGGCTTTACAATATTAAATAGGGCCGTTCGTCTCACCGGTATCGCCGGGTCCTGGTGTGCTTCGGCATCCGCGCAGGAACCTCTGCTCTCCGGAATGTCTCGCCGAACAGTGACGAGCAAGAGGCCTGCCGGGATCACGCCGATACTAAATTTGGCATTTTCCACCCGTGGCGCTCCTTATCCTGGCAGGGCCGCCGGGCCCTGCGAATTTTCTTGATGTAAATTTTCCCTCGCCGTTCCTCTATGTTTCCGCTTTGGGTTCCGGTATTCCTCTTTATGGGCCGTCGGGAAGACTCCTACGAGGGCACCTCTTTGCGATTCCTCCCAAAAATCCGCCAGATCGATTGTTTGATCGATGGTGGGATTTCGGTGTATCCGGATCTGCGGGGCTCGAGGCAGGATGTCTCCCGCGCCTTTCGTTCCCGGGGCTCTCTCGCCTCTCGCGAGAGAGTGGCCATCCCCGTCTCGGGCCGGAATCTCTGCGGAAGAAGGAACATTTTACGGCGGTACCCAGGTTCTTAACGGGATGGGCAAGCCAGAATTTTGGTGCGAAAATAATATTTACCGGGCGTGATCCGGACTTGGTGGCTCCTGCTCGGTCCTCAATCGTCCTCTTCGTCCTCTCCGTCCTCTCACTCTTTCTCTCTATTGGTTTCCTCGGTTGAGACACGTACCCTATGCAAAATTGCTCGCCGAAAACGCCAAAAATCGCTCAAACAAAAATCATACAAAAAGTAATTCGCGAAACGGATGCGCGAAGCGCATCCTCCGACGCGGTAGAAAACGCAAAATGATTGTTCGGGTGCTCTCTCTCTCAAAGATTGGCGAGAGAGCAAAGGTTCCCGAATTTCCCGCCTTCCCGGCCGGGCCTTTGGCCCTTGTGACGGACAGTACAAAATGTCACGTCACAATATATATATATACACTCCCTTCTCTTTCCTTCATCTTTCTCCACATTTTTCTCTCTTTTTCCATTTATTCTCCTCTTTACTGCTCCTGTCTTCCCTCTCTTTTTCTTCCATCCTTTTTCGTTCCACCTCCTTTTCCTCTCTTCCTTCCCTCCGCTCTGCCTTTCTTCCTGTCTTCCCTTTTTCATCGTTCTTCTCCGTTCTCTCATTTCCTTCTTCTTTCCTTCTCCTCTGTTTCTTTCCCTCTTCAGCTTCCCAGGCTCCTTTTTCCTTTTCCTTTCTCCTCTTCTTTTCCTTTTCTTCCACCCTCTTCTCCCTTCTCTTTTTTCCTCTCTCTTTTTCTCCTCTTTTACTATTTTCCACCAGTCTTCTCCTCTTTTTTCTAGATTTTCCTGTTCTTCCAATCTTCTTCCTTTCCCTTTTCCTTCCCTCATTTGCATTCCTCCTTTAATCCTCTCTTCCATTTCCTTCTCTGTTCCCTCCAGGGTCTCCTCTTCTATCTCATCTCTTTCTGCCTCCTTGTCTCTTTTCTCTTCTTTCTCCCTACTCTTTCTCTTCTCTCTCACCCACCTCACTATATCCTCCACCATCATTAACGCCGAGAATCATTAACAATAAAGAAAAAATATTTTTTTACTTTGGTCCGTGGTTGAGAATCTTATAACCAATACTTCCAACTGGTAATAGAGAAATTTTTCTCTGATTGACGTCAATCTGGTATCCAAGATAGTTCCTTGGTTGTGAAATCATTACATCTTTGGTGATGTTAGATAATGGAGAAATTCCGCCAGTTGTGAGAACGGAGAGACTCCGCCGAAATAATTGTTTCCATTAAACAGTCCAGAGCACGGTCGAAACCGCCTTGTTTGAGAGTGGACTGCAAAAATAGAAACGTTATGAGAACGGTACTTACACCGCCATAGTCGTTCGTCGAACATTCGAGAACTACCTGAGAACGGTCAAGGACTGCTTTAGTTTGCTTCTCCTTCGTTGGGTTGGATAATTCCTTCACTGAGCTCTCTTTCTTTCTCTCTCATTGAGGAGAATCAGAAATTAAACAATACTGATAAATTCTGAATGAATACAGACTGTTAATTATCGAGAACGAATGCCTCACGTGAGGAGAGCACACAGCACATCCGAGATCACAATGGCGAAAAAGGAAGAAAACAGTTGAAGAAGGTAACAAAAGGGCATCGACAGTGCCTCTACTGTCTTTCTTTATTAATAAATATATAAAATAAAAATACATTTTGTTTGAAAAATTTAAAATTTCTTAGAATTTTTAAAGTATTCTGTGCTACGCATTTTTCTTCGTGTTAATTTCATGCTATTCTGTGATACTCTGTGTTGCGAACGCGCGGCTTGAACCGTGGTCCGACACGAAGCTGCGACGAACGAGCATGCTCGGCCTTTTTAGGGCCGCGTTTCGCGCGCCGCCTCTCAGATCCTTCACTCCTTTTTTTTATTGGAAAGAAATCATAGGAATCTCATGAGAGATGTGATGGATGGACAATAGGATCATTGTTCAGTGGACTGTATCTTAATAGGGTGATCGCGCACCCATGTGTGCGCTGAGATTGATGATTTACGCAGGAGGCCGAATTGAAAAGAGTCTTGAGTTTGATGAACAAAACAGATCAATTTATTATATCACACGTCAGAAAGTCACCTGGACTTGACACAAACAAACCAAAGAAAAAACAAAAACTCGATATGAGAATCGAACGCGTTTGCTGTACGCGCAGCAAATTTACATTTTACAATTGATCACTTATCGAACACCTGATTGTGTATCAAGCGTCGTACAAAACAATTATTCGTCGAAGCTCGCGATCACAAAAAGAAAACTGTTTGTTCGATATCGATACCAAAGTCTTTTGTCGCAAGAAAAAACAATGTCCTATTTGAAAGTCACGATCGCGGATCGTACAATAACAAATTTGTCCTCTTGTGGACGACCGTTATAATTTATCGAAAACGCGCACATATGATTTGACGCGACTCAATAATTGTCTTCAATTATGTGACATTCAATCCTCCAGCAGGATCCGAATACTCGTAATGTTCGATCACGTGCATTTATATGCAATTAACTATCACACAGAATCCTCCAGAAGGATCCGAATATTCGCAAGAGTCGATCACGTGTACGCAGCGTGCACAATACGACGGCGAATTCGTCGCGACGGCGTACTACGACAATTGTGAGAGAGAGCGCGGGAGAGAGAGAGAGAAAGAGCGAGAGAGAGAATGCACGACATGCATTCACCTATACGCGAATATCGCAGTGAATCCTCCAGCAGGATCCGAATACTCGTTATGTTCGATCACGTGCACGTAGCATGCACGAGACAATGGCGAATTCGTCGCGAAAACGTGTATGTTGCGTCGCGAATGAGATCCGATTACCCGTTAACTTTTCACTCTCGATATGTCACAAAATACCGCGCAAATCTGTTATTTGTCGCGATAATACATTCACGCACTTATTACACCGTAACGCGAATTCTTTAGTCTGACTTGCGACCAACGC